TGGGTGGATAAGCACGGAGTTGTTTGAGCCATGAAATCATAAACACCCCCCAAATGAATATATTTTGAAATGTATTAAATACCTCTCCTTTATATCTTTACTATGGACCAGAAATAAAGACCATTAAGTATCATATAATTTAATTCAATAATTTTTAAAAGCTAAAAGCTAAGCATTTGGTCATAGTTAACTTCATTAATAAGCCTAGCCTCGCTGGCTTTTTTTTTTCTTTCTTTCTAAAAAGCAAGGCTTTCTCCCACCCCCACCCCCTGTCTCCTACCAGCTGTTGGGAAGAGTTGAGAAAGACAGAGAGTCAGAGAGAGAAAGGAGGGGGTTGTTAGAGAGAGAAGATGAATCTGGGAAAAATATAAGATAGAACTTCTTTGTTTATTGCAAAACACACATGTTACAGTTTATAAACACTGCAAGCAAATAAGAAATTGTGGACCAGAAGATAAATACAAAACATATCAGGATTTTTGTTAATATCCAAAATAGACCAAACTCAATATTCGAGACAAGTTGGAATATTTTATTAGCTTTGGTTATTCATTAATTTCTGTATTTGTTTACCTAACTATTTATTCATCTGTCTACCTTAATTTCACTATAGTCATTTTGAATAGAAAATACACAAGCCTACTACATTTCTATGGCCAGATTTTGAGATGACAGAGCACCAAACAGCCTATGCATCACAATTAGCATGCCATATTATTAGAAGCAAATCAGATTTCACTGTGCCTACACCGATGTTCTAAGTTTAGAAATAATGTACAGTGGTTGAAAATGGGGGTGGGGGGGAGAGACTTAGAGCAGTTTATTTTTAATAAAAATAAAGATATTTCCTATTGCTTTTCTTTTTTCTCTGTTCTTTTTCTTGGTATAGTACTGGAAATTCAGCACGTTTAAATAACTGTGCTAATCTTAAGTACATAACTGCATGATTTGAGTGCTCATTGGGATTATGGATCGAGACTGTTTTCTGATATGACGTGCAATAACAACCACAGAAAAGTGAAACAATCCAGTGGGTCAGGTGTGGGAAACAAGAGTCTCTGCTGAACTTGGTGAGAAACTCATTTAGAATTTCTCATTAGGACTTCACAGGA